CATAAGCTCTGTGAGCCACTTAAAACTCCAGTGTTTGTCTAGCTTCATTGCACACTGTACTGAGCTAATGTGCACTCAAGTGTTAATTCTTCTTCTTCACTTTGAGGGCAGTGAAGTACTGGTCTCTCCACAAACCCCCCCCCCCCAAAACAATAAAAATCAACAGGTCCTCTACATAGAGAGAGGTCTTGTGGTCCTTCACCTCACTTGACACCAAAGTGCTCAGCAGCTTCAGTCTTGATTTGACTGGTCAAAGGAACAGTGTGGCATTTTGGGAAATGCACTTTTCTACTGAGAGCTGGATCAGATCCATACCACCCTCATGTCTGTACAGTAAATATGGAGCCAGCACTTAGCTTAGCACAACTTAACATAAAAAGTGGAAAGGGGTAAAGGATCTGTGGTTTTACTGTTGGTTTGTGGTTTTTGTACAGATGAAACAACTGAGCCTCAACATATTTGGAGTTTTAGAGGGGCCGGGAAGCTGATTTGGTTACATGTGGACAGGTTAATAGTTTTCTGTGTCTGTGCTAAGCTAACAGTCTCCTGGCTTTAGCTTCATAATTAACAGATAGGAGAGTGGTATCTTATCTAACACTCTGCTGGAAAGATAAAAAGATAATTTCCCAAATATCAAACTATTCCTCTGCAGTTATTCCTTTAGTGTGTTAAATTGATTGCATATATCAGTAAGAATGTAAATTTAAAAATAATTGATTGAACAAGGCTTTAATTAACCATTTAATCCACAGACTCACCGTTAACGTAAATAAACTTTCTGTTGCTGCCGTTACATAGGTTAGACACAGCACTGAAGGACCATCTTGGCAGCATCAACATCTGATACTGAGCTATTTGTCGGTTCCAACGAACCCATGAGGACACCAAAATAGTTTGTTAAACTTGTCAATAACTGTTGGGTGATGTTAGCCATGTGTTGCTAACAGTTAGTCCTGCTGTGTGATTGTATGCCGGTGGACTCTCACCAATTGTCCCTAGCACTGAGCTCACACGCAGCAGTAGTCTCATGATAAACAGAGAGAACGGGACAGTGGGGCAATACACTGCATGCAGCTCTACAGTAAAAGAAGATTTTAGCTATATTGAATATTAATAAAAAAATAAATAAATCCAAAAGTCATGTTCACATGTGAGAGGTTGGGCAGCGATTACTCTAATGAACCAATACTGATGTCCAAGTCTGGGACTCAAGTACGAGTGGCCATCCCCAGTTCATATCTTTAAGATATGTCGTTTGTGGTATAAAGTCAGACATGAGGAACTTTTCACATTTTTTTTTTTAGAATTTGTGGCAGCTTGTTGAATGTTTCAGGTATTGAATTGGCTTTGCTGTGTGTAGATGTGGTTTTGGTATGTCAGGCGTGTGTGTCTGTTTAGAGTGGTTTTTCATCTTAACAACCAGCCCTCCCTCCCGCCCCCTGTGATTTCTTACAGAAGGATGCAGCCCCCCCAGCTGAGTGCAAGCAGCAGTGAAGCCTGGCCTGGCTGCCTTGAGGATCAACTGCACTGTAACGGCTTCTCAAATTAAAAGGAAAAAAAAAAGAAAAAACAGATTTAAAAAAATAGTTACTTACCGCCTTATAATGTTTTGTATTTTTCTTGGTAGAGAATTTGAAGAAAAAAAAAGTTTCAAGATTTTTGTTACAAAAACTCATGGTAATATACTGGGAGCTGTGTGGCTCAATATACATAGTATTTTACTAGACCTGTTTTTTCCTTCTCTTCCTCCTTCTCTGTACAATAGATAGAATACAGGAAAAAAAATCTCCCTCAAAAGCATGAACTTGTTTCTTCACTGCTAAAACTAGTTTGGGTTCTTGTGAAGTCTTTTGTTGTATTTGCTCTTAGACAACAGCTGTGGTTTAGACTGCATCGCGGCAACGTCAATTTACAACCCCCCCTTTCCCCCTCCTCTTCCTCCTACCAAAGTTCCAGGGTGGTCAGTTCCGGTCGTCCCAGGTGAATATATTTTTTTTTAATTCTTAGTGGGGCCTTTAGCACTTGTAAAAGCACTGTAGCATTTCCAGCTCTAGTGACGGAGGACAGATGGGTGACCCGCAGCTGGGTGTCTATTCCAGTTTATCTAATCTTGCTGAGCATGGGATCTGGAGTTGGTGTTTTTGGCCACTTCCTGCGCCACTTGTGCTCAACTACTTTCCACTCTCGATACATTCCAGTAAGCAGACTGGCTGGCACCGTCGGTGAACCTCTCTTCAAAGGGAGTCCACTTCTGTCTAACTGGACGGGCTCATCTAAATTGAACCAAAAAGAAGTTTGTTTCGACCTCTGCGTCACATCGTGGGTCGCTCCCAGGGCTCAGCACAGTCTGGTCAAGTCTCTTTAACATTCCAGAGAATTCTTATGCTGAGGAAGAGGCTGAGACGGTTTGGTGGGATGGCCAGTTTGGGGCCGCCTAGCCCCAGTGACTCAGTGCTTCAGGCTCCTCGTAGGCTCACAGTGGCTGTCGTCTTTTCTATAGCACTTTGTCCTAGTGTGTGGTGTACCGGTGGCGTCCTATCATTGGTTAGCTGTCTGAGTACTCCTTGTAAGCAGCACTTTGTTTGACGCCCCCTGCCTAAACAGCCACAGGGGGTGGTGCTGTAACCCCGCTCTGTGGAGAGTTCAACTTGTGGTATCTGGTTTTTAGGTGCATTGCCTTTCTTACCGGGGGAGGCACACTTGGCCTGTTCAGAGAGGCTTTGTAGGAACAGGGTTGGGCAGATGTAGCACAGCGAACTAAAAGGAAAAGTCCAAACCAGGTTTTGAAGTGTCTGTGGACACGTCAGGTTCACCAACCCTCCCCTTTTTTTTCATCAGTTTATGACATTTACCTCTTGCGTCACCAATTTGTGACCGGTCAGGTGACTCACGCGGACCTCAGCCCAGCCCCTGAGGTCTCGGTTCATTTTAATCACTGTGAAAGAAAGAGGGGAAGCGTGATAAGGCCATTGTATTGGCCAGTGACCCACTACCCTCCCTACCCAAAACTCCTTCCTTTGTTACCCAGAAGGCCACAGGGAAGCATGTCAGAGCAATACTTAAAGCCAGGAGGGGCACCGAGAAGAAACCGTAGCCTGCCTCCCTCCCACTCCATTCTTAATGCCTTCTTCAGTTGTGAAACCAGCCACGTGCTGGTTGTGTTGGGCAGCATCATGCCCACTGTGGAGAGCCAGGGTACTTCTCATTCTGCAGGGAGTATTCAGATCATGTTCATTGGAAAAGGACGTGAATGGGTTTCTGTAGGGTCCTTCTGAGCAGCTGTTGTCAAGGCAAAATGCTATGCTACAAAAATACTAATGTACTCAATAACTGTACGTGTATGTTCATGAATAAATTGGTTAAACATGTCTAATATGGTTGGCTGTCTGTGTTTATGTGTTCATGTACATTCGCAGATAAAAAATGTCTACACATTGCCAAGACAATCACAGCCACTGACAGAACCCTGATTATTATTTCCTTTGTATTACGATTGTGAACAGTCTTTCTTCCAAAACATTTACACAAATGAAACAGCCACTACAAGCTGCTGATTGTTGGATTGGTAGTCAAATACCTTCATGCACAGCCACCTGCCAGAAGAGGGCGACATTGCTGTGAGATTCTACAACATCTGACAAACGCTGACCTCCATGGGGAATATGGTTTGACCACATCAGATACCACACTGACATACAGAGCCATTAGACCTAATCCTGTAACAGTGATGCAAATTTAAAATAGAAAGGCTTTAAAACTTAGATTACAGATGGTAGTTGTTAATGTCACACCAAAGTCTCAGTTTGCCTGATGAATTTCTCACACTGACTAAGCTGTTCATAGTTGACCAAATTAAAACACTGGGTAAGGTAGTGTGATCTAAAGCAACACTACCAGTGATGGAAGAAGTGACCTGCATTTAAAAGATGACGCAAGGTGCATGAATATTCACATCAAAACATGTTTAAAAGCACTGAATGGTCCCTTTTATTGTTATACGGTATATTAAATAGAGCATTACAGGTACACAAGCATCAAAGCAGCATATTGTAACTTGTTGAGGGGTGGTTGAGGCAATTTCAGGGACTTTATAATGTTGGATTGTTTAATACATATTTTGCCTGCCAGTTGCAAACCACAGTCATGTTGTATAAATAATATGTGATCTTATCCAAATATCGAAAACATTCAGATGTGATCCAAATACGGAAATAAAATTTTGACATTGGGATAAATTCCAGAAATCTAAAAGAAAATCAGGTATAATCCACATAAGGAAATATCGCTACAATCAGGATAAAATCAAGAAATCTAAAAAAAAAGATCTAATCCAAAAAAAGAAATAACAGTACAATAAGGATAAAATCACAAAATCTTTTTTTTTAAAAATGGAAGTATGAAAATGACACTGACATGTATAAAATCCAAAAATCTAAATAATTTGCATGTAATCCAAATATGGAAATAACACTTTCAAATCAGGATGAAATCCATAAATCTAAAAAAAAAAAAAAAAATCTGATATATAATCCAAGTATGTAAATAAAAATGTTAAAATCTGGATAAAATCCAAGTGAATACAATCCATAATAATAAAATGGAAAAACTGAAGCATGAGTACCTCAGAAATTGTACTGACCACATGATCACATCTCTGACAAAGCCTTAACAAGTGAACACAGCATCTTAGTGTTATTTACATTATCAAATTTTATTATAGGTGTTACTTTGTCCCGGTGAAATTAAACTAAAATATGACTGTTGGTGCATTCATGATCTATACAGTTCAGAATATAAATAGTGTAAACTGTACTGTATACCATAGCATCTCACCTACTGTTTGTGTATAGGGCATTATATTCTCCTAATAACATTATTTCACTATATACAATCTAATTTTAAAATACAAAAAAAAATCAAAAATAATGAATTGACTTTCAAAATAAAATTCAAATGATTGTTCTTATTAGTAGGCAGTTGTTGTTTTCAGTGTCTCGGGAGGCTGGGTGTCACTGAGGGGGGCGGCGCACCTCTCCAGCAGACCCCTCCCGCTACCAAATCCCCCTCACACACTGTGACCAGCAGCCAGACAGCCAGACGGCCAGGCAGCCTCCTCACTACACCCAGCGCCGCACAGCACCGCAGTCACAGCAGCATCTCATGCCTTCTGCTCCGGGATAGACAACCGTGCATCTGTCCATCCGTCCGTCCATTACAGCAGCCAGGGAGGTGGAAGCCTGAGGCGTGCAGGTGAAGATGCTGGAAAACGGGAGGAAGGTGTTCAAGGAGGGTCTGCTGGAGAAGCGGAGCGACGGGCTGCTGCAGCTCTGGAAGAAGAAGCACTGCGTCCTGACCGAGGACGGCGTGCTGCTGCTGCCGCCCAAGCAGCACGACCAGCCGCAGCACCACCAGCACGGCGGCGGCGGAGGGGACGCGGGCAAAGTCAAGGAGCTGCACTTCGCCAACATGAAGACGGTGGACTGCGTGGAGCGGAAGGGCAAGTACGTCTACTTCACGGTGGTCATGACGGAGGGGAAGGAGATCGACTTCAGGTGCCCGCAGGACGAGGGCTGGAACGCGGAGATCACCTTGCAGATGGTCCAGTACAAGAACCGGCAGGCGATCCTGGCCGTCAAGTCCACCCGGCAGAAGCAGCAGCTGCTCGTCGTGCAGATGCCCGGACAGAAGACGATCCGCAGCTCGCCAAACGTTGCGTGACCTGCGGCGAGTCCCGCGGACATTGGTGCACCATCAGCGGTAAGACAGCTACAGAGAAAGCAAGATTGATAGGGGGGCTCCCCAGGTCTGGGGACCACCTGGGGAGCCCCCTCCAAATTAAGGACCCGTGTTTTGGTTTTGTTGTATTCCCTGGATATTTGTGCTAAGACAGAGGACGCATGTTTTCATCTCAGGTAACAGTCCTCCCTCACAGATCAAACCCTGAGCGATTATTCTGCCTGAAGGGGACGAAATCGTACAAAATGTGGATTTACTTTGGCGTAAAGAAAAGTTTGGGAGCCTCTGCTATAGGCCTGCCTATATGTCCCCCCTCATGGAGGTGAAATCCTCCGCAGGAAAATGTGCTGGATATCTATTACTAGGCAGGTTTAATATTTCCTACAAGGAGGGCTTCTCCTCATCCACGACAAAATAAATAGATTTAAATTATGCACGTAGTTTAGTTATTTACATCAAGACTGGAAAGATGAATATTTGTTTATATAATCCATTTAAAACTAGACTGACATGACTGAATCATCGTTGGAAGATGTTTAGTAAGTCCACAGTGTTAAAGCTGAACATGTGAAAACTAATATGCACCAGAGACTCCAAATTAAGCGTAAAGATGCACAGATTGTGCGCAAAAATCAAAGGCGGCCAGCTGAATCCCTGATGTGTTTCACTTTATGCACATACATTGACACGAACCTAAACTGTAGCACACTCAGCAGTATGTGTCACATCTGAGCCAAGCGTATGGAGCTGTACAGTCCAGCTCCACAGCAGCTCATCTCACTCAGACTTGTGTCAATCAGTGAAATAAGCTGCTTTGTGTTTGTTTCAACACATTTTCACGCATGGCTCTCCCTGGCACACTTTTTATTACACAGAGGTCAAATATCAATGGACTAAACACCCGGAAACAATATAGTCACACTGTGTCATTGTGATAAATTACAGGCATGAGTCACCAAACATGGAAACATTAGTTCTGCACAGGCTATGATGCAAAGGGAGATACTGTAACATGACCTCCCAACACTGTAAGGAAAAGGATTGCTATTTTTTTAAGAAGCACAATTTTCAAAAAATGATTTTTTTTAGGTGAACTTTTGTCAAAAACCCCTTCAAAATCAATTTGTGTAATAGATGTTTGATTAACGTTTGTCCTCAAGATCAGGGCTTTACTTCCCAGTTGGCCCCCAACATTATGATATTTGGTTGAATTAAGGTTGTGACGTCAGGTGACCAAAAGCCAACGTCCGCACAACATCTAACATCAGTTTGACGTAGAGTACTGACGACAGATTCCGTCAATATTTTATGGGTTTTTAAGTTGTGTTGTTAAGTAACTAAAATCCAGTGTCTTCCAAACGTGTCATGCCAACATCGCCTTGACGTAGGACAGTGACATTTAGTCATGAGGCATGGAGAACGCAACCTAACATCTGCAAAACATTGTGACGTCAATGTCCGCACAACATAAAATTGGGTAGACATTTTAAATGTCGTCAGCCCAATTTTCATTCCAACCAAAACTGAACGTCTTTGGAACGCAAGAGTCCAACATCTGTCTGACCTCATATTGACATTCGGTGCCAGCTGGGTTTACTGTAGTGTTAGTGAGCAGCAGGACCGTAGCAACATTCAAGGTCTGAGGTCATTTCTTTTCCATGTATTTGGGGAATTTAGCAATGTTGATTAAGTTAAAATGAAATTTGTTTTCAGTGTTTGTGAACTTAGTGTTGTAAAATTTTAAATTTGATAAATAGAGTTTGGTATTTCATCACTAAAACTGTTATTAGCAGTTTAGAGAAGGCTTTGTAACGTTTCGATAATGAAATAGACCCTAATTGATAAAATATGACACATAAAAATGTCTTTATATTTATCTGACTGAAATTGTCTGAGGATGGGTTGTGTGGGGGGTGGGGGGTGGGGGGATTTAATTAATGACCTCACTGTTTCTAAAATCCTTACTACGGCCCTGCTGAGCAGTAATCCTCACTCTCTGATACATGCTTATGTCTTTTATGTAGGAAATAAATCCATTGTGTCAGTATGAGTTGGCATCAGCGGTTTGATCCAGACTGTTGGAATGAAATGAGCAGCCTGAGGTCCCGTTATATTGAGTCCACATTTCAAGCGACTTTAGATTTGCCTCCTGTGTCAGGCACCATCAGTCTGCAGTCTGTCTAATTGATTGCATCCGCAGGTTAATTGGACACTCAGCCGGAGGATGAATATTGACGCGGGCTGCATCCCCCCCTGCCGCTTCACCACAGAGCTCCATTCTCCAGGAGAGCCCCTCTTCCATGTCGTGGTGTCCACAGACCAGCGTCCCCTTTTCAATACAGAGACTTATTTCACAAAAGACTGATGGACAAAAAGCATGTGAGAAAACAACTGTACTCTACCGTGCATTGGGTTTATCCCTTATTTATTAGATGTGTATATATATTTTCTATAAAAAATGTTATGTTGTTGATGAATGTTCAGTGTGTTTGTTGCTAGAATGGAACAAGAAATACTCACTCGGAGGTTCCTAGCCCACATGTTACACACAAAGTCCATTGGGAATAAGCTTATATAATTATCTTAGGACGGTTGCTGTAGGTTAGTCAGATCACTTCATTCCCGGTAGAATGTGTCATCGTCCATGTTTTCATTTCTCAACTGAACCAAAGAATCATGCCATTACATTTCTCTCTCTAGTGCAGTGTTCCAGCTCAGAGTATACTATACTAAAATACTATAGATATATGATGAGATACCTGCATGACTAATTTGTTTGAGTGCTTGATTTGTTTATAGCCACAGTACATCTTCATATTTATATTGTGTGCATCAATCATTTTCCTGCATTCATAGCTAACAAAGCAATCTCTTGCTTTCTTGTAAGTCTTAAGTCTGAGTAAGACGCAAGCTTATTACTCTCAGTTTGTTTTCAGTGGCTACGAGCTAAGAGCGCTGTTAAGTAGTAAGTAAGTAACATACACAGCTGAGTTTTTATTATATTAAATGCTCTGAAGACAGTTTAATTGGTTGCATTAAATCTTAGTGGGTGTGGACACATTGCCAATGTTCTCTGACTTGATAGGTGTAGTCTGAAACCAATAAGGTGGAGGAAAACAGTAGTACTTGGAATTGATAGCCAAAAACAAAGAGGAAAAGTACCATGACATTTTTAAATCTGTGGACATTCAGAGCTACTTCCTCTTCTGCGTCAAAACCGGAGATGCTATTGTAGCTAAATAGCTGTGTTGCGCTGACTGTTTTTCTTTAGCCCTACTTTGTCAGAGTGTAAGTGCCCCACAAAAGAGGCATGGTTTGTAGACAGTTATGGCGTTCATGGTACAAATAGGTCTCTTGAATAAACTGTGTCAAATTATTTCCCTGTTAGCTACTGTTAACTGTAACTAAGCTTGCTTCGTGTGAGTTAGCTACTCTGCTAACTAGTTTGCTCAATGAAAGTTGGCTGCTGTGCTAACTTGCTTGCTTAGGGGGCGTTCGTAAATCCAATTTGATGCTGTACGCTAAAATGAGAGCGTTGTTGTTTAAAGAAACAGAGTGTTCAATTTGCAAATGTTCCAGTTTGTGCCAGAGTGCGCTCCAGCACTTGGAATGAGTATTTCCGAACACACCTTAAGTGTAATGATGTGTTCAGAGGAAGTCATGTTAACTGTGTTCCAGAGAGGAGTTGGTATGAACGCCTCCCCTGTTGTGGTAATCATGACCTTGCAAGTGGAAATTTTCTGAGAGACCAAAGTTCATAACTGTGTGTAGGCCTAAACCAGGCCCCCAGGAAGTGTGCCGGGCTTTGAAGCCAATTTTCATAGTGGCTGAACAGCGGAATTAGAACTTCCTTGTGCGTCACGTGATCCCACTGGGCCCAGAAAGACTTTTTCCCATAGACTTACATTGTTAGAGGGAGATTTTTTTTCTCTGCAGAATGACTCATTTCACTGTCTGGACTTGATCCATTTGATTCAATAACATTTGGCAAGTCGAGAGGAGCCACAAGATTAAATCATCCCCATTCAAGTTAGCAAAGCACGACAATGAAAGTAGCCGGCTCGGCCAGCAGACGTCTCTATTGCGCCTGCTCTATGGGCCCAATGACTCGGGAAGCGCAGATCATGTGGGTAATTTTATACGTTGCAGTTGAACGTTTTTGGCTTCATGTGCCACTGAGCAGCCTTCATAAGAATGAACGGACCAGCCTTCAACACTGTATCCAGGTCTTTTTAGACAACTATGGCCTACACAACTTTCAGTGATGTAAATACGAGCTCACAAGTTTCATTTGAACACAGTTAGCTTCTGTTCTATGCGAATAGTGTAAGTTTGGTACTGGGCTAAACAGCTTACCCACTGTAAGTTAGCTACTTTATTATTATAACTTACTTACTGTAGCCTAAGTTAGCTGCTGTGGTAACTAAGCTAGCTGTTTTGCGAATTAGCTTGCTTATTTTGAGCTAACAATCTAGCTTAACAGTCAGTAACAAGAGATCTCTATGACTGACTAGTACCAGCATGTTCCCAACAGGCTGTTACGGTGCATGCCCACTATAGACGACCAGTTCGCCTAAACTCGCATCCGCCCTACACCGCCGGTCAGGCAGTCGCTTGTGGCAGCAGCTTGATTGGCTGTCTTAATGTCAGCACTGTTTGGATTTTTTAAATTGCCACACCCTGTCTTCGTGCTGCCTGCTTGGTCCTCATTGAAGGTATCCCAGCGTGCTTTGTGCAACAAATCAGTCACTTCCATTGTGTTTAGTCACGTATGGTGGGCATGCATCGTTCGGGTTTAGCTCACCAGCTACAGGAGTTCGGCAACTAGTCTTGTGAGCAATGCCCACATCATCAAACTTCAAGAACTACATGTTTGGTAAAGATGTGTAGGTGTATTTTGCTGCACCAGGATTACACCCCTGACATTCTGTAAGGTTCACTCGCTGGGGGGCATATGGCGACTGACTTCCTCTTGACTCCTTGCACATGTGAATGGCACAAAAATTGGCTAGACCACTCCATTACAATACATCTCTTCCTGCATTATAATGTTTATTGGACTCAAAGGCTCAAATTGTGACCATACAGAGCTTTTATGATTCATTAATCATTTTAAAGACGTTTCTTTGTTTCTGGTCCCGTCATGTGACCTCACAGCTGAAGTGCTGCTCCTGGGGGTTTGGTGAAATCACGTGTCAGTGTCGCCCTGCCACAAGGTCATTTGTAGGATCCCTCTGTTTTTATAGCTACTTAGCTAACTGCTGACTTTCCATTATCACAAATGCTGTGAACATGTTTGTATTTGACCTGATGTGCTTCATGGCAATTCAAGCTTGCCAGCTAGCTAAATTAAGCTAAAACAGACCATTTGGCCCCACCCACTGACATTTATGACAACCAATCAGATTGTTTCTGCCTCTGTAGGAGTTCTGCCTCTGAGAAACGTTCATGAAACAATATCTCTAATCTGCAATGTTTAAACTACAAGGCATGATAAATAAACAGACTGAACAATGCGATAGCTGTGGAACTGAAGGTGGCAACACACAGGGCAACATTTAGTGGAACGTGACAGGTAACGTCCTCCTCTGTTGTTTTTTGTTTTTCATGATAATGGAGTGCTGTTCTGTCAGGAAACATGTTATTTCACTATTGCTCATGTTGTTTCCTGTTTTTCTGAAAGTGTTTTGCAGTGCTTTCCCCTCATGCCAGTGTATTGCAGCCAAACCAACACATGCCTCCGTGCTGTTGTCATCTCCCACGCAGGGTAATAGCTGTGCCCTTTATCTAATGTGACTGGTGTGATGCTTCTCTGACATGCCTTCCTGTTGCCATCATTACACACACAGTTATAGCTGTGCCCTTTGTAGCCACTGTCCAATTTCTTATTTCAACGTGAGATCTATTTTCATACCTCGAAAAGATACATTCCATTAAAAAAAAAACAACAAAAAAATTGCACAGTGTCTCATGTGGTTTCTTTCGTTCTTCAGAGCAGCAGATGAGCGTCAGAGCCCTGCGGTTCGGCGGGGTCATCTAAACGACCTGTTTAACTAGCTGCTGCTCTGTCGGTCTCCAGCCTTTCATGCTTTACAACTGCTGAACCTTTCACCCCCTGTTTCCTGGTCTAAAAGTAGAAGCCGTGTGGAGAATTGGGTTTCACTGCCAGTTGTTGCCGCTCAGATAAACTGCCAGAGCGTAATGTCAAAAGCACACGTGGCTCTGACTACTCTGCTGTCTAAAGCTGAGCTAATTCAATTAAACACAGTGCACATGACGGCATCCTTTCTGACACATGAGGGGTTCACTGCTGCTGGAGAGGAACATCGCTGTGTGATAAAGCAGCTTGTCTATCTAAATATTAAAGTCTGGACATCAGAGTCACCTGCCACCCCAGTCCTTGAACATTTTTCTGTACTTCAGAAACATTAAAAAAAAAGTCACACTGGTAGGCACAGTAATGCATTTACATTTCAGACATTTAACAGACGCTCTAATCTAGACAGCTAACAGACAGCTAAAGTCGTTGATCACCACCATCACAGGCGAGAAATATTAAAGCCAGACTATGTAACGGTTGCTGAACAGCTGCCACTGTGACCACAAGTGCCAGTTACAAATATTACAGAAGCGTGCTATACTGATTACTCTGTGACGAGATAACTAAGACCCTGAAATCTCTGGGAACACTTTATTTTATGTGTCACTAAAAGCTTAAACATTTACAAACAATTTTCGGTTAAGTTATGTGAATTTTATACAACTTGTGGGTAAAATGGACAATATTCAGTTACATTGGCAACATCCAGTTAATGATTTTTTACTAATATGAAGAGTAAAGTTTCAAATAATGTTTAAAGATGAATTAATTTCTACTTGTGTTTAAACTGTGCATCTCTTTATGGCAAATGCATTTAGAAATAAACAACTGCTACTAATGTTAACATAAATGACCCTCCAAAATTGGTCTTTATTTTCCATTAATCATGGGTGGATTATGAGACAGTGGGCCCCTGGGCACAGTTTTACAAAAGACCCACCACCTCTCCCATATAGGAGCAACAGACTTTGTCGTCATTTTGTGTCTTGTGTTAGTTTTGTGTCTCTTTGAGGCAATATTTAATTTTTTAGTCCTTTTATGGATCTTTGTAGACATTTTGTGTCTCTTTGTGGTTAGTGCGTGTCTCTTTAGAGCCATTTTTTGTGTCCTTGTGGTTGTTTTGCCTGTTTTTGTAGTTATTTTGGATCTCTTTGTGTTTGCTTTGTGTATCTTTATAATTGTTTAGTGTCTCTAAGTGGGTGTTTCGCCCGTTTTTGTAGTTATTTTGTTGCTCTTTGTGGTTATTTTGTGTGTCTTTTTGGTTGTTTTGCCTATGTAGTTGTTTTGTGTGTCTTTGTAGTTATTGTGTGTCTATTTGTAGTTATTTTGTGTCTTTGTAGTTGTTTTGCCCATTTTGTAGTTATTTTGTGTGTCTTTGTGGTTTTTCCCATTTATGTAGTTATTTTGTGTCCCTTTGTAGTTATTTTGTATCTCTTTGAGGTTGTTTTGCCCATTTATGTAGTTATTTTGTGTGCCTCTGTGGTCATTTTGTGTGTCTTAGTAGTTATTTTGTGTGTCTTTGTAGTTGTTTTGCCCATTTATCTAGTTATTTTGTGTCTCTTTGTGGTTGTTTTGTGTCTGTTTATAGTTATTTTGTGTGTCTTTGTGGTTGTTTTGCCCATGTATGTAGTTATTTTGTGTCTCTTTGTGGTTGTTTTGTGTCTGTTTATAGTTATTTTGTGTCTCTCTCTGTTTCATTTTGTATCAGTACATAATAATTTAAGTGAAATCTTGCAAGTGATGGTCAGGGGTGCTCTTGGGCCTGTGCCCATATGGACTCATTTGTTAATCCTTCCATGCGTTTAAGAACAATACTTTCTGGAAACTTTTGGACATAATGCACCAGTATAACAAAGTGTTCCCCCTGTCCTCTTTCCCTTCAAAATAAGAAGAAAACAGATTTCTCTGCGGGGCGGTACTTTATTTAAATGAACCTACAAAAGGGGAGAGAAGATAAGTGAGGACACAAGTCTTGTTGTTGATATCCCTCCAACATGGCGGTGAGTGCCTTTGAACTCCAGCAGCAGCTGTTCGTCAAACTTTACATAAGAGGCCTCTGTAGCTCCGTCTTGGCATGTAAGTCAACTGCCAAATTATTCCTCACCATTACCATCTCTCTTTGATCAGGAGGAGGGCGTAGGAACTTGTGACAGCAGGTGCATGTGACTCTAAGTGACTTGCAAAGTGCTTTTAATCCAGATCTGTGGGGTCCCTCCTGAATCCTCCCCACCTGTATTTAACCATAGAACTTGCTGACTTGGTGAGAACAAACTGGGCTACTGACATTGTCCTTTTGAAAGGCTATCTTGTAGTAAAGAAGAACCTTACACACTGCACTTGAATTTTAGATATTTATTCCTTTAGTGCACCAATCGAACATGTCAGTGCCTTCATTAGAGTATGAGTTCTGTCTTTAAGGATGGCAATATTCTATATTTTTGTTATTGTCAGTGAATCCCATGAAAAGACAAAACTATCTCTTAACTATCTCTTAATACATGTTGACACTGTGTCTGTGGCCCATTGGTTCCTACTGAATACATTCATCATCTAGAAAATATTTAGTTTCTTATACCAAAAAACAAAACACAAACAAACAAACGAAAAACAAAACAAAACAGTTTGGTAATTGCTCAAACAGCTGAGCACTGTTTTAACAAATGACACTTAAACTAGAGGAGATTAAACATTTGTTTGGGACTATTTTCAGTGGCGGATTAATACACATTTGGTACTCTAGTATTTCTGGCAGCAGGACAGAGTGTGTAAAATAAACTTACAGTATGTGTTAGTGTTCATAGTAATGAGGGAATTGATCACCCAGTGCAACAATGTGGCCCAATGATGTGTTTTTAAAGTGTGAGTGAATCAAAAATAAGTATGTGCTCTGACACCACAGAAAAAAATGTGTTATTAACCACCCAGCCAAATTGGAATGAAATCTCTGCTCTGAGATGAGACATGTCCATGAAAGGAGCTGAAATGAAGAGTGAATGAGC